TATGTATTCCCTGCGCCAAAGTTCTCAGGTTTGTCCCAATTCCCTTATTGATGGCCCTAATAATTTGGGGTTTTAGCTCCAGGTCCCATTATTCATTTTTTCCTAACCCCACCTACCTTATGAATTGTGTCCCTGGGCAAATGCTGCCCTTTTGATCTCAAATGGTTGTTTATTCTAAGGTGAGATGCTATTGAAGTGGGGTAGGCAGACATTTCTGGGAGGGCATCTCTCTGGGTCTCGGTATGGACAATAGGTTGAAAGTCGGGACAGGAGTCAAGGAAGCCCTGTTTGGAGCCACGTCGTAATCAGGGCAGTGGCACTTTCAAGGTATTTAGGAGTTAGCGTCAACAGTGCTGGGACTCACATGGGAAGTGGAAGACCAGGAGGGAAAGGAGTTGAGGTTGATTCTAGGGTTTCTGGCTCAGCAAGTGCAGGGGAGGTAGGGTCTCCGACTGAGGACACCTGGGAGGAGGAACAAGCCATTCAAGGGGGTTGATGGTGAGTTCCTTTTGGAAACAGGAGTTCCAACTGGAGAGGGCCACCTGGTGGTTGGGTTTGCGGGAGGGAGGGCTTGGCGGGGGCTAGTGCTTTGGGAGCCAGCACTGAGGTTGGCATCCTGCGTGTGTGTGCTGTCATCTAAGGGGCATGAGTGGAATGAGACGGAGCCCAAGAACAGACCAGATGTGCAAGGGACAGACGGGCACGGGGGTTCTGAGAGGGAGTAGCCTCTGAGAGATGGTCTCCAAGCAAAAAGAGAAAGGGACTTCAAGAAGGGAAAGTCGCCCACAGCGGGAAATGTGGCGCCGATGGCAGGTCAGAACTGGATCTGGACATGAACACAGTCAATAGCAAGCTGTGGACGTCACTGGTATCGGCCACAGGAAGCCAGTGTCGGTGGCCCGAGGAGCTGGTGGGAGCGGAGCCAGCATGTGTAACTGGCCCGGGAAGGAGAGAGGCCTATGGGATGTGAACTGAAGCAGTGTGTTTTTTTAAAGATGGGAGAGACCCGAGTCTTCTCTCTGTTGACAGAAGGCCACGTGGCAGGGAAGACAGGGCAGCCGTGAGGAAGGAGCATTCATACTGAAGGGAGGCGGAGGTCAGGGAGCGCCCGAGAGAAGGTGTGGTCCAGAGATCAGCTTTGCCCTTGGCCAGGAAGAAGGTCACTTCTTCTGCTGGCATGAGTGAATGGTGTGCACGGAAAAGGTGCAGGCAAGGTGGTGATGGGAGGCAGACAAGTTCTCACTTGGCGCCCATTTTCTCTGGGGACAAAAGGTGAGGCTGTTTCTTGAAGGGAGTAGGGGAGGGGAGAGGGCCCAATAAATGTTTGGCTCAGGACAGATGGGGCTCTGAGCTGGAAGACGTGATGATTTGCCTGGTGTAGGTGAGGCACTGGCTGAGGTGAGAGGCTCTGAGTTTGTACTGGCCACAGCTTCAGTGGTTGCAATTTATTTTCCCCTAAGTGGTCTTCCCAGCGGAGCCCTGGTGGCAGAGTGGATTACACATGAGCCTGCTGAATGTGAGATCAGTAGTTCAAAACTATCAGCCGCTCTGTGAGGGAAGATGAGGCTTTCTACTCCTGTAAATGAGTTACAATCTCAGAAAACCACTGGGGCAGCTCTATGTTGTCTTACAGGGTCACTATAAGTCACAGTTGACTCAGTGGCAGTGAGTTTGGGGTTTTGGGGGTGGTCTTCCCAAGGACCCCTAGTGGCATTGTAGGTTATGATGAGTGGGGCTACTAACTTCAAGGTCAGCAGTTCAGATCCACCAGCCGTTTCATGGGGAAAGATGAATCTTTCTATGACTGTAAAGATTTACAGCCTTGGAAAGTCACAGGGGAAGGTCTAGTCTCTCCATAGGGTCCCCTGTAGTCAGAATCTACTTGATTTCAGAGCGTTGGACTGGTCTTTCCTTCCGGTAGCTGGAGGGTAGAGACAGACCCAAAAGACGATTAGCTTTGGCAGGGAGGATTTATTGGGGGGCTGCTAAAAGATCAAGTGTTTGGACCAAAGTGCTCAAAGCTTTTGACCTTGGCCTGTTGTCTGGCAGAGAAGATGGACGTAGGAGAAAGGAGGCGGGACTGCTGCGGGGGCTGGGAAGCCATCCACTGACAGTCCAGAGGAGGGAGGCACAGAGATCACTGGAGTCTGAGAGTTGGGAGGTTGAGTAAGCCAGAAAGGGGTCAAAGTGCACTCGCAGGAGGGTGGCTGGCATGGCTTGAATGGAAAGATCTTCAAGACGGTAAGAACTCGGTGGTTAGGCTGTAGCTCCCATCACACTGGGCTCCCCTGACTGTTGGGGAATGTGATGAGAGGACGTCTGGGCTCAGAGGCCAGTGTGTAAGAACAAGGTCAGGGGCGAGGGCAGCAGTGACGTGTGATGGGAGGATGGACTTGTCTGTGAGGGTGAAGCCGTGATGCTTCCGAAGCAGCCCTGAGGACAGGGCGTGCTGCCCCGGCTCCAGACTGATGGCCCATGGGAAGGACAGGGGAGAGGGGCTGGGACTTGAGAGGATGTGGGAACGGGACTTGCAGTGGGAGCCTAGAGTGGACCGAGCGCCTCAACCTGGTTGAGTTCCAGGCACCTTTGGGAGGCATCCAACCAGGACGGACCCGCTGGGAATGCCTACAAAGCCCCAGCTCTCATGGGGGAGTCCTAGGGTCCTGCAAACAGACGTGCTTGGCTGTTAATTGAAAGGTTTTGAGTTCAGGTCCCCGCACAGGTGCCTCCAAGGAAAGGCCTGGTGATCTACTACTGAAAAATCAGCCTCTGAACCCCCTGCGGGCCACAGTCCTACTCTTGACACGCGAGAGGTCACCATGAGCTGGAATAAACTTGGTGACATCTGGGAACCGGTACCGGGCCCTCACGGAGCCTGCATCCTGGCTCGTAGGAGGAGAAACCCCATGGCCACGGAGCTGACTCCCGCTCATGATGACTCTGCGTGGAGTGTCTGAGACTGTCAATCTTTACGGAGCAGAGTGACGGCTTGACGTTTCTCCCATGAGCGGCTGGTAGGTTTGAACCACCGATCTTGCAGTTAGCAGCCAAATCCTTACCCTGCTGCAGCATCGGGACTCCTCAGTGGGAAGAGACAACCATGAAATGGGTGGACACACAGTAGGTCGCATTGTAGGGAGCCCTGGAAGCAAGATAAAAGCTGATTTAGGGGGCAGAGAGGGGTGGCCCCAGGGTGCTGCTTGGGCAGGCTGGTCAGCTAAGGGCTGTGTGATAACTGGGAGAATGAACCATGGGGATACATGGGAAGAGGGACAGGTCAATGCAAAGGCCTGAAGGTGATCAAGGTGCCACGGGGAG